TTTTCCTAATAGCTGCATTGTATTCCATTGTGTAGATGTACCGTCGCTTCTTTATCCATTCATCTGTACTTGGATACTCAGGTTGTTTCCAGATTATGGCTAATGTGTATAGCACTCACGGCAGAGCCTGGCAAGCTACCCGTGACGTACTCGATATGCCAAACACAGTAACAACAAGTCTCATGATGGAGACATTACTGGGCCCGCTCGAGCAAATTGATGAACAACGGGAGGACCGTGATCCGTGATCTGTGTATAGCACTGCAAAGAACACAGGAGTGCAGATGGTGTTTCTGCTGTGTGTTTTGGGGTCCCCCCAGGTATACTCCAGAAGTGGTATTCCTGGGTCAAATGGGAGCTCAATTTTTAGTTTTTTGAGGAATATTCATATTGTTTTCCAAAAAGGCTGGACCATACTGCAATTCTACCAGCAATGAATCAATGAATTAGAGTCCCTTTCTCCCTGCATCCACGCAGCCACACTAGCACTGGTTGGTCTTGTCCTTCTGGATGCGTGCCAGTCTCTGTGGTGCGGCTTGCTCTTTAAACCTGTGTTCTCTCAAACATATAGCACTTGCTTGTCCCTGTTTCTTTCATTACTTAATTCCACTCTAGAAAACCCTATATTCTCTCTTGAACACACATTACTCCTTCTCTCTTCCATCACATCTTTCAAAATAAGTTTCAATAAAATCTTGTTTCATCAAAAATAAATAAATCTTCCTGATTGATAGCTTCTAGTTACAACATGAATACAACAACTCAAAATATCACATCACATCGCATCATTTCAGGTATAAACAGTTTTAGGTATAAAAAGAAAATGCTGTCTAAAAGATGCTCTTCAAGGGCATCATGTTACGTGAAAAAAGTCAGGGGGAGGATGATTACCGGATGATCTCTCTCAACTGCAGAATACAGATAAAACAAGGGAATAGACAGTATCAAATCATGATAAACCCTTGGCCCTGGATTTAAAAAGGTAAATTATCTTGCAACAATGGAAAGCAGCCATACCTAATATACCAGTCTCAAGGGCTAGCACTACAGTGAAACATGCAAGAGAGCAACATGCAAGGACTCAGTCTTCATTCCTGGTACTGCATACACTAGGAGCAGGAGCAACATCACTAAGCCAGGAGTTTAACCTGAGCATCTCTCAGTGAGGACCCCCACACAAAATAAATAAATAAATAAATAAATACTATTCTGCTTAGGTTAAAGTTAGAATTAGGGATCAAAGAAAAAAATCAACTATTTTGTTTATGATGGATTGAGGGGGGCGAAAAAAAGAAGTGCAATACTCAAGGACACTCAATGCAGCTGACTGCATGAACACTGCAACCTGACATTTGACTTCTGGAAATCACAACCTGGCATGTCTGCAATCCCCGTTTAAAGCATCAGTAGTAATGAAATGAAGGAAAGGTGAAGGGGGTTGAGAGATAAATATAAATGAAGAACAAAATTCATAGAATAGTCCTGATGAAAGTGGAAAGTGAAAAAAAGTTTATGAACTTAAATATACTGGCTATAGATATGATGAAATTATAAAGATAATCAATAATCAGACCTCAGCATTTTGTAGGATAGTATGAAATAGCTTTTTAAAAGAAGAAGAAAGCAAAATTAGATAGGAAAAAAATATGAACAGGCAACAGTTTCAATTTCCCGACTTTTGGTGAGGTAGGAACCAACCTGGGGGGAATGCGGTCATTTTAGGAGATAGGCCAGCACCAATGATGTGGTGCTGCTCCAGCCTAAAGATGCTGGGTGTGGGGAGACCACCAGGTAGCCTGGACAATGCTCAAAAACCACTTTGGTCACAGTCAGCAATGCTGAGGGGCATGTGGACCAGGGATCATATTCAGGTCCCTATGCATGCAAGGCATGTCCTGACAACCAAGATATCTCCTTGTCCCCAAATTTTCATTAAAAACATTTTCTTCCTTTTAAAAAAAGTTTTTAAAACATAGACACTGTGTAGCAAACTATGTTTATACACAATATATCAGATAACAGGCTAATATCCAAAATACATAGAGCACTCACAACGTTCAACAAAACATATATTTTTATCATATACCATCATATATCATATATCATATTTTTTATTATATATCATCCAAAGTAGAGCAGAAGATGAACAGACACTTACATGAAGAGGACATATAGTCTGCCAGTAGGCACTGTAGAAACTATTCATCGTGACTTGATGTTGGAAAAGCATAAACCAAAATGACAATGAGGTATGATCTCACATCACTGAAAATGACACATAGAGAAAAGACTGGAAATAATCCGTGTTGGTGGGTATGTAATGAAAAAAAGGTCACTGCTGGTGAGAATACTAACTAGTTCAGTCTCTAAACAAAACAATAGAGATTTCTTTTTAAAAAAAAGACGATAGCTTCTCTATAACCCATAATTTTCACTTCTTGGTATCCATACCCAAAACACAAAAATATCAATTCCAAGATACATGCATGTCTATGTGCATGACAGTGCTAAGTACACTAGCCAGGACATGGAAACAGCCCAAATGTCCAATGACAGGTGAACGAACAAAGAAGTTATAGTGCATATACAGAATGGAATATTACAGAGACATAAGAAAAGATGAAATCATCTAGATTGCTACAACTTAGAACTGAAGGGTATAATGTTAAGCAAAGTAGAGGAAAAAGGAAAAATACATATGATCTCTTTCAAGGAAATGGAAGGACTCCAGTAATGGTAAGCACTTGACCCTGAATTATAGAACTGAGAATGCCAAGTAAGGGGAAAGAGGGTGTTGGAAAACAATGAGGTGGATACAGAATGACACAGGAACACTGAATGGCCTTGGAACTTTGCTAGGGATAAGGTGAGGTAACGTGCAGCAAAACTATAAGATTAAAGCTATTGCAAACATGTGACCCATACTGAAATATTTTTTAATGAGTTTATCAAGAGGGCAGGGCAGGGAGAGGGCCTTGGTATATTGATACAGGGATGCTGACACTTGAAGTTCATATAGTGTTGGAAAATTGTATGCCTGCCACTCTATTATTAACAGTCATGTACATCAGAGCACCTAAATAAAAATTTAAAATTTAAAATGTTAAAAGAAATATATGGCCAACAAAATATCTTAAGAACAATTTAGTCTCATTTGAATCTTCATTTAGGCACTGAGATTTACAATACTGTTAGTAAATAAGGTTCAGACATACGATATTTCAACTGGACATCCACCACCGTTATTGTCCCTCCACCACTGCGTTTCAAGAAAGCCTTTCACCCATCACCCATCTTGCAAACTCAGTTCTGTAGGCTAATTCTCACATCTCATTCATGATAAAAAAAAAAAGAACTCTCAACAAAACAGGGATAAAAGGATTGTTTCTCAATACCGTAAAAGCCACTTACTACAAATTCACAGTTAACATTTTATTCAATAATAAAAAACTAAGAGCCTTTTAAGATTATACACAAAAGACAAGGATGTGCACTTCAACCACTATTATCCAACAAACTCTTGATGTCTTCGCCATAGAAGTTAAGCAATAAAAAATAGGCAATTCAGACTGGGAGAGAAGTCAAACTAATAGCATTTGCGAATAATATGATACTATACTTAAAAAATCCTAAAGACTAACAAAAAAACTAATAGAAACAATAGAACTATAAAGTGGCAGGCTATAAAATCAACAAACAGAAATTTTAGGCATTTCTATATACAAGCAATGAAGGAAAAGAGAAAAGCAAACCTATTCACAATAGATATTATATCTCTGGTAAACATTAGATTGTATTATAGCACTATAGCACTTAATACAATCAATTTCAGATTGTATTATTATCAAGTTTAATTTTCTTTATGGTTGGTAAGTTTTTATTTTTGCTTATATGAAGCAGACTTTATACTCTGATATTCTGGATATACTGAATGATATTCCTCACTCACCTCCCTATGAAATAAAGATGTAAACAGGCATAAGCTGAACTGAGCCACTTTCATTAGTAAAAATAGCAAACTATTTCTATGTCATTCATTAGAATAGGACATTTTCCTCATCAAATTGATCTAGGGCACAGCAAACAACTTTAAAGTAAAAATGTTGTCTGAGATTGTAAATTTCTCTGAATAAAATTCCTCCTTTAGAAAACATAACATTTTTATGTTAATTTTCTAAATGTAAACATTATTTTCCTCAGTTAAAAAATATTAACTTTTAATGATGGAAATGTAAAGGTTTTAAAAAGTTCTGTAAAATCTGAATTTTTAAAAAATTTTTATTAGTGAAACACCATGAGATACAGTTGCAGACTTACAATTTTTTGTGCTTGGGTTTCAGTTATAAAATGATTGAGTTATCAACCCTCCACCAGTGCCCATTCTCCACCTCCAGTGCTCTCAGTATTCCTCCCATCCCCTTACCCCCCCCATCTCACCCCATCCCTGTGGCAGGGCATTCCCTTTTGCTTTCTCTCTCCTTTTGGGTGCTGTGGTTTGCAAAAGAGGCAATGAGTGGAAATCATGTTTGGTCTATAGTCTACTTTAATCAATCATGCATCTCTCATCCTGGGAGGATCCTCCCAACACCCTTTAAAATCTGAAATTTCTAACATTTAATTAGGGTAGAAATGAGCCATAAAGACTTATATTGGGCTGGAGAAAGTATGGCGGTCAAGGCATTTGCCTTGCATCCAACTGACCCCAGCTGAATCCTGAACATGGCCAGGGAGGCTCCTAAGCACAAAGCCAGAAGTGATCCCTAAACATGTTGGATATAACCTAATGTCTTCCAACCACAAGTACTTGTATCAGCACAAATATATTTTCTCTGTTAGGACTCTGATTCTCTCCCTTTCAAAGAAGAAAACTTAAAATTTCAGTGTCTTACTATCGTCACTGTGTATGAATATTTTCTTCCAGGAGAAAAATACAAAATAATATAATGTCAGAGAGAAAACATAAACACAAGTGATAAGCACATCCATTTCCTTTGACTCACCTATGTGATACAGTCCTATCCAGTCGCTGGGGTCCACCTCCTCTTTAATATCCCAGAAGATGATGAGGTTCTGGGCTTGCCCCAGCGTGTACTCATACATGCTGGCAGTCAAGCTGGAGCGGCTCTCAGATGTGACCAGGTCCGTGTCACTGTTGGCCCTCTGCAGGGTCATGTTCTCTGGCATAGAGCTCTGGGCAGCAAGACTTTGGAGGTTCTCTGGGCTCAGTGTATACCTCATTTGGGGGTTTCGACGGCGCACAAAGAGCAGGTGCTCCCGGGCTGAGCTAGCCATCCTGTTTGCCACTCTGAGACGGGCTTGCTACAAAGCTGCAAAAGATACACAAGCACAAAGCATCAGTGCTACAATGCAAGGAACCAACTTTACTTCCCAGATATAAAACCTTAGGAATATTTATTAAAGTTTGGCATGCAATAATCTTCTGCTGTCTAAATAAAACCTATTGTTCTACTGTCAACTGATGATGTCAGAAATAATTCCTATAGACACAAGTCACATGATGGTAGCAAAGGCCACCACATACCCTCGGCCCTTGATTCACTCAACACAGCTTGCCTTAGAAGCTATGGAGAAGGGGATCTCTATCATCTCTTTAAAGTCTATCCTTTCCCAAACATCCCATCTTTAGACACAATATCTTCCTCTCCTTCATCCCTTACCTGTGTTCATTTTCTGTTGCAATTACACTTTACTATAATAGACAGAAAACTGATATATATTAAATACAGTTAAGATAATATGAATATGGGTATGTTAAAATATACCACTAAGAGAGTATCAGTCACATGGTTGATTTCCTTCACGCTGGACTGTACCCAAGTCTTTTTTCAGGAGCGGGCTCAAATGTCATCTCCTCACTTAATATTCATGTTCACTGAACCCACTGGCCTTATTTAAAACTGCAACACTCCAGCATTTCCATTTGCTTCTTTCCCCACATGCCTCTTGCTTCCTCTTGTTCAAAATAGTATTATCAGTATGATACATTAAATAATACCAAGTACCTGTATATTTTAGCATTGTGCATTTTATTGAACAGTATTGTAAACTTGGCTAAAGGACAGACTATCCAATACATAGAATGGGAGATCTGGCCCACACATTGCCAAAAAACTCTGAGTCGATTTTTGGTATGGTTTAAGGTAGTGGTTCAGTTTCATTCTTTGGCATCTGGTGGGACAGATTTCTCATTCCATTTTCTGAAGTCTGCCCTTTAGCCAAGATTAAAATCAACTCAAGTGGAATAAAGACTTGAATATAAGACTTGGAACCATAAGATTCCTAGAAGAAAGAATGATGCTCCTTTCCTTGATATTAATTTTGACAGTGAGTTTTCTGTATATGACAACAAAAACTAATGGGGGTAGAACTACATAAAATTTAAAGCATCAGCAAAACAAAGAAAATCTTCAACAAAATATATAAAAAGGAAACCTTTTAAAATCGGATAACTGATATGAAGTTAATATCAAAAGATATGAAGAACTCATACAACTCAACAGCAAAAACCCATCCATTCAAAATGTGTGAGAGGAACTGAATAGTTTTCTAAAGACATACAAGTGGCCCAAAAGCTCATGAAAAGGTTCTAAGTATCACTTAAAGATGGGAAAATGCAATCAAAACCCAAACAAGATAAGACCTCTCACCCACTGTAAGGACTATCAACAAGAAGACAAATAATAACAAATATTGATGAGGAGGCAGAGAAAAGGGAAAGCTGGCATATGTTGGTTAACACGTAAATTGGCAAAGCCACTATGAAAACAATATAGAGTTTAAAAAAAATTTTAAATACTATCATATGATTCACCAATCCCACATCTGGCTATAAGAAATAAAAGCAGTATAGCAAAGAGATAGCCTTTGTTAATTGTAGCATTATTTACAAAAGACAAGATATAGAAACAACCACAGATGGAAGAGCAAGCACAGATACACAATGAAACACTATTCAATTCTGAGAAAGAAAGAAAACTTAATGTTTGCAAAAACACTGGTTGATGTTGAGAGCACGGTGTTAAGTAAAACAAGCCAGAGAGGGGAGGAAATAGAGCACAAAGGTTAAGTTACTTGCCCTGCATGTAGCCAATCCTGGCTCAATTTCCCAGCACTATACTAGGAGTGATCCTGAAGTACAAAGTGAAGGGGGGGAGGGGGGAGAAGAGGGAGGAAGGAAGAGGAAAAAGAAGAAAAGGAGAAGGAAGAAGAAGGAAGAGGTGGAGGAGGAGGAGCAGTAGCAGCAGCAGCACCCAGACAGAGAAAAATAATTTTGCATGATTTCACATATAGAATGTAAATAAATACATCAGGGGCCAGAGAGATAATACATGTAGAACATTACCTTGCATGCAGTCAACCCAGGTTCAATCCCTGGCACCACACATGGTACCCTGAGCTTTGCCAGGAATGATTCCTGACAACAGAATTAGAGGCAAGCTAAGAGTAGAAAGGAACAGGAAGGGAAGGGAAGGAGAGGGGAGGGCAGGGGAGGGGAGGGAAAAGGAGGAGAGGAGAGGAGAGGAGAGAGGAGAGGGGAGGGGAGGGAATGGGGGGGGAGGAAAGAGGAGGAGAGAAGAGGGGAGGGGAGGGGAGGAGGAGAGGGAAAGGGGAAAGAAAGGGAAAAAAGGAAGGGAAGGGAAGGGAAGGGAAGGGAAGGGAAGGGAAGGGAAGGGAAGGGAAGGGAAGGGAAGGGAAGGGAAGGGAAGGGAAGGGGAAGATAGGAAAGTATTAAACTTGATCAGAAGCTAGAGAAAACAGGAAGAAGTTAGGCAAAGGTTATAACCTTCCAGCTATAAAATGAATATGAACTGAAGATATAAGAAATTGGATGTTCTAATATAAGACTGACACCCAAAGACAGTAAAACAGGGCCAGGAAAATTGCTCCATGGTTGGTAGCCTGCCTCAAGAGCTGGGGAATAAGGCAGCTGGAAAAGAGAAGGGATCACCACGCCAGTGATGGTTAGAGGGATAGTTTGGGATAGGAGATGTGTGCTGAAAGTAAACAAAGGACCAAACGTGATAGCCTCTCAGTATCTGTATTGCAAACCACAGTGCACAAAAGTTGAGAGAGAGTATGGGTCAAACTGTCTGCCACAGAGGGAGGGGGAGGGGTGGGATGGGGGGAACGGATACTGGGGACATTGGTGGTGGAAAATGTGCACTGCTGAAGGGATGGGTGTTCTATCACTGTATGACTGAAATTCAAACATAAAAGCTTTATAACTGTATCTCACGGTGATTCGATTGAAAAATTTAAAAAATTTAAAAAGAAATTAAATTTTCTTATCAAAAACATTCAATATATTTAAGACCTAGGCTGGAGCATAGCACAGTAGGGTAGGGCATTTGCCTTGCATGCGGACAACCCGGGTTCAATTCCTCCGCCCCTCTAGAAGAACCCGGCAAGCTACCTAGAGTATCCCGCCTGCACGGCAGAGCCTGGTGAGCTCCCCATGGCATATTCGATATGCCAAAAACAGTAACAAGTCTCACAATGGAGACATTACCAGTCCCGCTCGAGCAAACTGATGAACAATGGGAGGACAGTGCTACAGTGCTATATTTAGACTTGATCAATTTCAAATATAAATAAGATATGTGTCTGAAGTATTGAGAGTAGAAATTCATTCACAATACAGATGTAGATCAAATCACCATGATTTAAAACTTAAACTTTCAATGTTAAGAGCTGGAGCGAAGTATAGGGTTACAATATATACCTTGATTATGACCAACTCTAGTTCAGTTCCCGACACCACATGGTCCCCTGCGTTACATATGGTTCAAGAGGCCCCCAAGCAGCACTAAGTTGCAGGGCCTGAACAGCACCACATCCTCAGGCCCTTGCATTGATTGGTCCATCAGTTTGTTTGGCTAAGAATCAATCATGTGGAGCTCCCAAGCTTTCTGAGAACTGCTTGGAAGACTCTATCCTCCCCCAAACCTTACATTTTTGTCAATTTCAAGTTAGCCTCTGAAATGAAGAAAGTCACTGCCAATTCCTTATCTCCAGATTCCTACCCTTTGATTACCACTGTTCAACTCCTAAAAGAAAACATTCAGTTTCATTATTGTTTATCACACAGAAGCAAAACCCAAGGTTTGCTAATCCATCCTGCCAACCATAATGCACATGAGGATCCTTCGTGAGCTCTATTGCAGATTCACTACCAGGATCTCACCATTCTACAAAGCAGTAATCATCCATGTCAAGAGAGGGGTTGGGCAGGGTGATACCATTTCACCAAAACTCTTCAGAGCCACCCTCGAGAACATCATGCGACGACTGGAATGGGAAAGCCTGGGAGTGAAGATAGATGGTTGGCAACTACAGCACCTCCACTTTGCTGATGACATTGTTTTAATAACACCAAACATCAGCCAAGCGGCACAAATGCTGAACGACTTTGACCGTGACTGTGGAAAGGTCGGACTACAGCTGAATCTTACGAAGACAATGTTTATGAGAAACAGCCTTGTTCCTGATGCTCCATTCGCTCTCAACGGAACCACCATCTCCGAATGCAACAGTTATATATACCTAGGTCGAGAAATCAACATGATGAATGACCTGGCACCTGAGTTGCGCAGGAGGAAGAGAGCGGCTTGGAATGCCTTCAAGAGCAATGAAGAAATAACTAAAAGGACAAAGAACCTCCAGCTACGAGCACATCTCTTTGATTCCACTATTCTTCCTGCATTAACATATGCCTCAGAGACCTGGACCCTACGAAAACAGGATGAGAACACTATTCGGGTCTCTCAAAGAGGAATCGAAAGAACTATGCTTGGAATTCACGATTCACTCAAATGAGAGATAGAATCCGGAGTTCTGATCTTCGTCAACGCTCAAGAATCAGGGACGCTGTCTCATTTGCCAAGACATCAAAAATCAGATGGGCTGGACACGTAATGAGGTTTACAGACAACCGCTGGACTAGAGCCATTACTGATTGGATTCCACGAGACATCAAAAGATCACGTGGACGCCCACCTATAAGATGGTCAGACTTCTTCGTCAAGACCCTAAATAATCGGTTTGAGGCTCTACATGTTCCTAAAATGAACAGATACCATTGGGCTACGCTAGCACGCAACTGGGATGAATGGAGACGTTACTGGCACCCGCTCGAATAAATTGATGAATAACGGGGATTAAGTGATAAGTGATTAAGTGATTTATTTATTTTGGACTCCATCTTTTAGAGCCTAATGGACAGCCAAGTATGAGACTGCATTGCCGATGCACATGGGACCTCGTGGGATGGGGGGTGGAATCGGTCCTACTCCCCTCCCTGACAAGA